CTCCCAAGGGCGTCTTTGCTCCAAGTGGAAAGTTCCCTGCGAGAGCTGTGATCTTCACGTTTTTATTGCTGCAGGGTCATGTTCAGCCTTTATGACCCCAAGTGATGATTGAAAGCCGCTTCCAAGGCAGCGTGTGTTGGAGTTTTTGGCATACGCTGTGCTTTTTCAGCAAGGACGGGTTATAGTTGTATTTAAAAACAAGTGAGTCCTGTTAGCAGGGGATTTATGAAGTCTGAAATAAGTCTTTGCTTCTGTTGCAGTATCTTCAAAACTCTTTTTTTCCCTCTTTTCCCCTCCATCACTTCCTCTGAGCGTCGCTTTTGGACTTTTCCTCCTCGTCTTCCCCCTCTTTGCTGCTAACCGTGAGTCTGTCGAGAGCGAGCGAGGCCATAGCTTGGGCTGGCTGTGGACCTAATAATAAGGCTGCTGCCCGACTGCTCCGTGTGCTCCTAGAGACGAAACCGGGGAAAAAAAGAGCGTTTTCCACCTAGGATTGCAGGGCTTCCCTCCGCATGGGGGTGTGGATTTGTTTTCTCTAACTTTCCTCTCTTTATTTTAAATAAAGAGAGATACTCAGCGCTTATAACTGTATATATAACTGTGGGTTATATTTTATTTTGCTCCTTCAAACTTCAGATAATTCTCGCCTTTTTTACAAAATGATGTATTAATGTGGTCATTGGGGTGTGTTAACGAACAGTTACCGCAAGCTTATGCAAATTAATGTGGAATTGGAGAGCTGATATATCAGGCAAGAGACCAAGGCAATTTCTTATTATTGAATTGCCTTTGAAATAGCTTAGGAAGGTAATAAATAGCTTTTGCAGCAAAAATAACTGTTGTGCTGTTGCAGCAGACCTTTCACTGGGCTATGGGAATGCCTTAAAAGACAAAGGTGTTAAAAATGGAGATTCCTGCCTCTGAAGCCCTGTCTCTGTCCAGACTCCTAGCTCTAGGTTGTTGTTTCTTATGAACCCTGACTGGCAGCAGCAGCGAGACGTGTTATAGAGAAAGCTGGAGGAGTTTGAGGGGGCAGCAGGTGACCTGGATGTGACCAGGGACACAGCTTTCGGGGGGGCCTGGGACCTCTTTATGCGCTTGGCGGATGGACTCAACGGTGACAATGACGCTTAGAGGCCAAAGCTCTGGGAGATGCTGGGGAGCAGCTCTGGTTTTCACCGTCCTGGCGCCCGGGCGGCTCTGCCTGGGGTGAGGCTGGCGGCCGCACCGGGGGGCACTGCGGTGAGCCCGGGGCG